ACTAAGGGGCCGCGCGCTGGACTAAACAGCTCCGAGCGCACGGCAGGAGCAGGCATGCCTCCCGGATGCCCGCCAATTCCGGCGATTGCAAAAATAGGCTGTTAGCAGGACACTGGAAGACGGCCATTGTGCTGATGTCTCGACCTGAAGCAAGGCTGTGCAACTAGCTCCTATGTCAGGTTTACTCGGTGGGGATTGGCATCGATTAGTAATGCTAGACAGCTCTTCTAGTATGTTTTCGTTGTACCCAATGGTGCTATCAGTTTTAGGGTCAGATTCAAGTGGTGGTTTGCTTTCGGTCATCGCTATTTGGCGTGGGAAATTGTCAAGAAACCCTCCTGAGAACTAGGTCCTCAACTGTTGCTCAAATGAATATGTCATGTTTTACGAAATCTCCTAACGGGTCGTGTCATTTTGTTGTGTATTGCGACAGAATGTCACGGGCAATCAGCCCATCAAAGCGCTTGGCCAGGCGATGGCATGTTGTGATACCATATTCATGTCTGTTTGAGAGTCATCCGTGATTAGATGACTGAGTGGATCAAAGAGCCGGTTGCAACATATTCTTTCTGTTTTTCCAGTTTCCAGTTTTCAGTTAAGTTTCCAGTTTAGCTTCCAGTTAAAAAACAAAATATTTCCGACATGAACTGGTTTTCGCCATGCCGTAATGCTCGCTGCTGAACCATTACGAAGTGTTTTGGTCTGTTACTGCTTCTAAGCGGTGGCGAGTTGTCGTTAAGTCTCGCCCCTCATGAACTTCACTACACATGTGGGCCCATGGGTCCATCGCAGGTACATCTGGAATAGGACCGATGGGCGCCGCCAGGCTGCTCAGAGCTTACGCCATGCGCTGCTCGCCTGGTTCTTCACGCCGTCCGCTGCTGGTCTAGTCCCTCACGCCATTTGCTGTTGGCCTGGTCCCTCACCCCATCTGATGCTCGTCCGGTAGTGCCTCACGCCGTCCGCTGCTGGCCCGGTCATTCACGCCATCTGAGGTCCGCCCGGTAATGGCTCGCGCCGTCCGATGCTGGCCTGGTCATTCACGCCATCTGAGGCTCGCCTGGTAGTGCCTCACGCCGTCCGCTGCTGGCCTGGTCATTCACGCCATCCGAGGTTTGCCCGGTAGTGGCTCGCGCCGTCCGATGCTGGCCTGGTCATTCACGCCATCTGATGCTCGCCCGGTAGTGGCTCACTCCGTCCGATGCTGGCCTGGTCATTCACGCCATCTGAGGTTCGCCCGGTAGTGGCTCACGCCGTCCGATTCTGGCCCGGTCCTTCACGCCATCTTAGGTTCACCCGGTAGTGGCTGACGCCGCCGGCTGCTGGTCCGGTCACTCACGCCATCCACGACTGACCTGGCCTTGCCTCACGCGCTTCCCCGGCGACCGAGCCTCAAAAGACGCTAGGCGTGTCCAGGCTTCACGGAGGCGGCAGGTGTGGCAGACGGGCCGCGGAGCTGGCAGATTGACTGTGGAGCTGGCAGATTGACTGTGGAGCTGGCAGGTTGACTGTGGACCTGGCAGGTGGATTGCGAAGCTGGCAGGCGGACTGTGGAGTACAGTAGCGCTGCGCCGCACGGGGAGAACCCCCGCTGGCACCCTCTCACGAGGGCAGCGCGCCCATGAAGCCGACGGAGGTGCCCGCGAACGGCGGGAGACCTCCGTCGGTGCCGGCTCGCAGCCGTGCGCGCCCCGCCGTCACGCTCAGGACGCGCCACGGCCGCCAGCCTTGTTAGCGGTCTGCTGCCTGGCGGCGCGGGATCGTCATGGCAACTGTCCGCACGCGCCGATCGCCGGCGGATTTCCGCCGTGAATAGGCTAAATCAGGGCGTCATTGGGTCATGGCGGCGGCAGAGCTGATGGTAGTGGGGCCGCTCGGCGCGCTACAGTCACTCTACGGTGTTTTTTGGTCGCTGGAGCCGGTGGCGTTAATGTGCTTCCCCGTGTCGAGCCAGCGTCTAGCCACGACTGTAATCGCCGGCTGGGTAGCAGCAACGCAACCCATCTGGCAGTGGCGGTCTGAGATGGCTTCATGGTCATGAGATGGCAATAGCGTCGGCAATATCGGTCTGAGATGGCTTCACGGTCATGAGATGGCAATAGCGTCTGGCAATATCGGTCTGAGATGGATTCACGGTCATGAGATGGTAATAGCGTCTGGCGATATCGGTCTGAGATGCCTTCATGGTCATGAGATGGCAATATCGTCTGGCGATATCAGTCGGAGATGACTTCACGGTCATGAGATGGCAATAGCGTCTGGCGATATCGGTCTGAGATGGATTCACGGTCATGAGATGGTAATAGCGTCTGGCAATATCGGTCTGATATGCCTCCATGGTCATGAGATGGCAATATCGTCTGGCAATAGCGGTCTGAGATGGCTTCATGGTCATGAGATGACAATAGCGTCTGGCAATATCGGCCTGAGATGCCTTCACGGTCATGAGATGGCAACAGCGTCTGGCAACATCGGTCTGAGATGGAGTGGCGTGGCGAGCTCCGGGTGTCGTCACCTCGCGCTCGGCGCGGGGATGAGCGCGTCCGAGCGAGGCGCGCTCGTCGGCCGGGCGTGCTCCTCCACGTGAGTGGTGGTCTCGTGTGAAGCACAGGTCGTCTGGCGGAGGGCCGGGCCGCGGCGAGAGGAGAGCGGGGGTGAACCGGCTCGAGCCTGCACCGCTCGTCGCCGCACGTCCGACAGGCGCGGCGCTATTGATCTGTTTGCGCCGCATGCGTGGCGCGCGGCGCCAGGTGACAGACGGACGCCCGGGGCCCGGCCGGCGCGCTCCGGTCAGGGCGGCCCGGTCAGAGCGATTGCCGCCGCCGCCGGCGTCGCGCCGTCCCCAGACGGCGAGGGCGTGGTGACGTCACGTGTGGCCGGACGGCGCAGGGCGCTCGGAGGGTGTAACGGGTGTCCAGGGGCTCACCGGGGTGTTGTGATGGACGTGCCAGGTCCGTGAGCTGGTCCCCTAGGAGGGTGTAATTCTGACGCCGGGGGGACGGCAGGCGGGGCTGGCGGCGGACCCAGACCTAAAGCGGCTGGAGTCTGCTGACTAATGAAGTCTGGCGTCTTGTTGACAGTTTGCGACCCAAGGGCTTTGATCACGCTACGCCGGTTAATGCCAAGCAAGCGGGAATGGTTCTGCTAGGTTTCCACGGTCCGCATGAGTTCGCACCTTTCTATATGACCAAGTCTGAGGTTGAGAATAGTGGGAATTCTCAAAGGAACTGGAAGTGATGTTGGCAAACGCGACAAGCTGCCATGATGGAGCAGCGTTCAGGTTTGGATTGTTGGGGCGGATGGCCGCTGATGTTGGCATCTTTTGGTCAACCTCAGCAGTCGATGTCATTTATCCATTGAAATGGCATCTGCCTTGGTGTTCCACGGACGTCTTTGAGAGTGTTACACAAAGAGACAGTCTGAATCCTTTGAAGCATTGGCATGGGTTTATGCCGGATAGTCTATTAAGTCAATGACTGTGACCACACCCAAATACCGCTTCAGGAATGTGACCGTTTCTATCCCAATTCGTATACAATCATAGCTTGCGAGCGAAAATTCAAGAAGCGGACTATAAAAGAAGCATCGTACACCTCGGTCAGTGGCATCTGCGAATGGCCCACAAAAATGATCATGCATAGTGACCTGCTATTGCGTGACCATCGCAGCGCGAAACCATTGGCATGCCACCGGAAATCGATACCTCTGTATTTGAAGAACAAGCCAGGTAAAGCAACCCCTGCGGAGTCCGTCGCACCTCCGTGCTGTGGCGCGACGTGCTGTGCAGGTACTTGTAGATTGCGCTTGAAGATCACTCCATCAGGCGCGTACCGTGCTGGTCGTGAAAGCGTGCGCCCACCCTGCCCGGCCGCGTGGCATCGGGTGCTACACCGGATGTCATGCAGCAGAGGTGTGACCGCCGTCAGACGGAAGCCGGAGCCGGACCGGTGCGATTGATGCCGCTGGGATCGGTCCCGCTGATACCATCCGGATCGGTCCCGCTGATACCATCCGGATCGGTCCCGCTGATACCATCCGGATCGGTCCCGCTGATACCATCCGGATCGGTCCCGCTGATACCATCAGGACCGGTCCCGCTGATACCATCCGGATCGGTCTCGCTGATACCATCCGGACCGGTCCCACTGATACCATCCGGACCGGTCCCACTGATACCATCAGGACCGGTCCCGCTGATACCATCCGGACCGGTCCCGCTGATACCATCCGGACCGGTGCGCCTGATACCATCAGGCTGGGATCGACCTGATCGCGCGCGCGTTGGGCGGCTGGACGGCGGCGTTGTGGTAGTCCCATTAAAGCCCGATGCTACGGCTCGTTGGGTGGTAATGAAGCTATGCATTCAGAGTGTGGCGCTCAACTTGGGGGAGGATATTGTATTGCCCCCCCCCCCCCCTCCCGTTTCCGCCGCCGGGCTTAGTTGGCGGTCATTATGACGCCGGAATGGATCATTGGCATGGGAGTGCTGAGGTCTGCTATTGTCGAGCTAAGGCAGCAGCGGTCCGAGAGTCTTTGCGTTAATGAACGGTGTGGCCGGGCTTCGGCTGTTCGGGGCACAGGTTAACGTCATTATGGCGCATCCTGCCCCGGTATGTGTACTCGGACGGATGACCGCTGTTTAAGTTAACTGATCTCGGTCTGATATGACAGTGGTAATAGCCTTATTCTTCGGAGAAAAATCAGGACAATGGAGATATAGATAATGTAGATGAATTCACTTCTGCTATTTGTTTCAATAAAATCATGTTGCCAAAATATCAACGCATCTATATCTCCATTCTCCCAGGTTTTCTCATAGGAATAAGGCTATTACTACCGTCTTATCTTTGTGAATATGCTCCTCGCAAATGTACTTAACAGCTTATATGACCTTGACCTGACTTGAAGTTGTAGGGATTTGTTTTGCGTCAGTGGTCTGGTCGAGGATTTTGTCTGCCTGACACGTGCGAACTTTGTTGACCTGACCTCTGACCTGGCAGGTCTGCTGATGTTCGGCCGCACCCCGGCCAAGGCGCGCGACATGGAGCAGCAGATCCGCACCCGTCAGGTCACCAAGGAGTACGTGTGCCGCGTCGAGGGCGAGTTCCCCAGGTCAGTGACCCGTCGTGCGCACGCGGTCGAGTCGAGCGAAGATCCGTGGATTCTGTTAGCTGGCGATGAGCGACAATCTCAGGCGAGCTGCTGATGGACACCGCGAAGCCCATTTTGGAGACGGGAGGCGACTCTGAGCGGCGCCGGCCCACCCTGGTTGTGCGCCAATATGTTGCCGCTGCAAGCGACACGCAGGTCCGGCGTGCTGTATTTGCATCATGCATCGCGGTCGTGATCTCGCTTGTTACATTGGGTCAGTTTTGCTCCGTCACGAAGACAGTGGCCCTGACGGGCGGCCGGCGGGCTGTCCTCGCCAGCGCCGCGAGATACGCGTACGCTGCGCATTTCCCAGCAGCGGCAGGGCTGGGGCACCGCGGGCGTAGCAGCGACGCGCTCAGCGCCAGCTCCGCCTCTGAGCCTGCTCAGCTCCCTGACAGAACAGCTCCAGCTCCCGGTGCTTGCGGCCGAGGGAGCGGTGAGGGGGGGGGGGGTGAGGGGGGGGGGGGTCGACTGATTCGGTCGGCGTGGCCGTGGGATCGGGACCGCTCCGGGCGGCCTCAGTCAGGGTCCAGCCGTGGCGCCGGTGCGGCCACCTCGGACAGATCCAGCAGCGGGCCGGCGTGGGGCCCTGCTGGGTCACAGTATGGCCACTCGTAGATTAATGATACTGCATGCCCCAATCGGATAGTGTGGTGGTCACGTGCGAGGGCGCAGGCAGAGCAAGACTGCTTTTAAATTATCGTAAAATTCCCCAACTTGGGCGTCCAGGTCTGGTTCGGCCTTCGTACCTCCTGGAAGCTGATATCTTCGCATTCCCCAATCGCACGTTCACGATGCTTTCAGCAACATAATACTTAGTTTTGTATAAAGGTTTGCCGCGTGGGCTGTTGCGCATTTGCGTACGAGCCAAGGTAGATTTGTCCTGCATCGTCACAAAATCACCACGGTTTTACCTCCCCGTTCGCTTCACATGTCGAGCTACAGTTATTAAGACGCAGGAAGACTGATGAGTGCAGGGCCGAGACCGGGTCGAGATTTCTACGTCCCGGCGTCATAGCGGCACGGGACAAATCCGTTCCGTTCTGACGATGGAAAAAGCGGGCAAGGGCGTCAGAGAAGTGTGATCGACGTGCAGACAGACACGCACTGTCCGGCGCGAATCATGGATCTGCTGTTGTAGAATGCCGTAAGGAGGAATGTCAGGTGCGGGAAACCAGAAAGGGCAAAGATGCGATACGAGCCGCTCAGTTGGGGTACATTTAACAGCTGCAACTTAACAACAGCCATCAAAACTGCCCGACCAATAGGAGCGTTGGTAATTGGCCAGGAAACGGCCTTCAAGAACTGATTTTGAATGTAAGTCGCTGAAGCCTAAACTGAGGGAGACGGGACCATGCGAGATACACACTCATATTGTCTTGTTCACTGTCACCAATACCCACCCAGCAGATAATTATCTAAACAATGCGTTAATGACAATTGCCAAGCCGTATGTAACTGCCAGCTCATCGACGTGATCGTCTGAATTGTCGGCCCCGGCCTGGCTCAGCCAGCCAATTTCAGCCGGCGCTATTAGTGAATCAGCGCCGTTATGCTGCAGTAGTGAGCCCCACCGCCTGTTTAATCCTCATGAAAGGTGGGCTTCCCAACGGACCAAACCCACTGGTATTAGTTGCCGAATATGTCCGGTGCCATTAGCTGAGCCCACATTATATGTACCATTGTGCTTGGTCTCATTTCATTACCATTAGCTCACGCAACATGATCACGATATTATATGTACCATTGTGTTTGGTCTCATTCCATTACCATTAGCTCACCCAACATTATCAAGATGTCAGTTTACAGCTATCTTTCCTCTGCTCCGCCTCGCTCGTCCTGTGCCACACAGACCCCGTCACTGGTCGTAAGCTGACGAGCGCATGTTGTCCACGGGCACCGCTAGCAAGCTTCGTTTCGCGACTCAGTTCGTCAACGCCGACATTCTCGCCGCGGCAGCCAGCCTGCGCACGCCGAGTGCGCCGTTATTGTGTAGTTGATGCGCGCCGGAGAGCCGCCCCGCCGGACGCTCGCCGCCGCCCGGCCGGCCGGCGCCGGGCGGATAAGGCACGGCCAGCGCGGCCGTCTCCGCGGCCCGACAGCGGGACCTGCTCGATCGTATCACCGGCGCGGCCGGCGGGCCGGGGCGAGGCGCGTGCCCGATCGCGATCGCCCCCGCCCGCCGCCGCATTGTTGGTCGGCTCGAGGACCCGCCGGCGTCCGGTGGGCGCCGCCGAGGGCACCGGCGCCGGCACGCGCCGCCGCTCGAGGGGCGCTGCCGGGGCCGTTAACGAGGCCGCAACGGCGCCGCTGGTGCCCTCAGCTGGCGCCCCGGCGCCGCTCGCCAGAGTCTCAGCTGGCGCCTCGGCGCCGCTCCGGAGTCTCAGCTGGCGCCCCGGTGCCGCTCGCCGGAGTCTCAGCTGGCGCCTCGGCGCCGCTCCGGAGTCTCAGCTGGCGCCTCGGCGCCGCTCGCCGGAGTCTCAGCTGGCGCCTCGGCGCCGCTCCGGAGTCTCAGCTGGCGCCCCGGTGCCGCTCGCCGGAGTCTCAGCTGGCGCCCCGGCGCCGCTCGCCGGAGTCTCAGCTGGCGCCAGCGGAGCGCTCGCCCTAGCGGACGCGGCGAGGTCACTGCTGGCTGACACGACCGGCGATCGTACGTGTGCGCCCGCGGAGAGCCGCCGCTGAGCGATTCTGCCGCCGGCGGCAGGCGGAGGCTTACGTCGAAGTGTCCCAGGCTATTGAGCAACTTTGTAATTCATTCGATAAGTTTGAGCGATTAGTGCTCGGTGATTTTATGCTGAGCGGCTTTGAGTTCGTCAGAGCTCATTGGTACGTGCTCAGTCTGATCGCCTCTGGATTCGTCTAGCTTAAGGCTTTAATTGCTTCGCGCCACGAAGCCAATCTCGTGTAGGGGCGCGGTTTTGTTTTCGCATGCAGGCCGTGCACGATCTTGAATCGGACTGGGTGTTCGTCTCGGCCCGACTTGACGCATTCCCTCCCGTACCTTTGTCGCAGACTTTGCTGTGGATGCTTTTCCGTGTATGCCTCGGTTGACGTAACGCCTCATTTGCTTGGGACGTTTGTGTAATCCCAGCGCGTTTCGTCGCACTCCACGGATCCTGGAGGACCGTTTTCCATCCTCTAGTCAAGATTGACGCCGTGCAGGTCCGATCCTTTTGTGACCGGGAAGTACATTGAATCCTCCCAGTTCCTCTTCTTCTCCCGCACACCCGAGTGCACCTTCTCTCCCGGCCGCCCTTCCCTCGTTCCTGCTGAGACGAGGGGAGGGCAGCCGGTCTCGGCACTGAACTCCGTACGGCCCGGCCGGGCCTAGGTGCGCACCGCCCTTGCAGCCGGGCCGCGCCAGGTCGTCTCTCGCCTGACTGCTGTCGAGGAGCGGCACGCATGAGCGCACACGCCTCGGCGAAACAAAGCCCGGCTCAGCGCGGGCCCGCGCGAGTGCGGAAACGTCCATTATCATTCTCGCCTCTGCCCGCCAGCCGAGCCCTCTCGCCAAGCCAAGCACGGCGGTGCCGCGCATTGTGTGACGTCACGCGACCGGCGAGCCAATCAAAACAGGCGCGGCCGGGCCGCGCGGACACGCAGGTCCGGCGGCCAGTGCGCTTGTGTTGGCCCCGAGCCCTCGAATGGACAGGAGTGGGCTGCGACTATTCGGCCGCCGAACAGGTGCAGGAACTCGGGTTGTTTAAGCTATGTTGATGAATGTGGGGGTGCTGATGATCAAACAGTAGATGTGTCGCCCTCGATGTTGAGCGCGGTAAATCTCTCGCCCGGAAGGAAGGCGAAACCGCGCATGGGGGAAAACTGACCTGAAATAATGACATGAGCTATCAGGTATGCTTTTCTGCACGAAGGAAGTCACAAATGATGGTGAGGGCGGGGGGAGCAGGAATATTTTTAAAACCCATTTGAACTTACTTCGTTATATGAACCGCCATCGGGCTTGCGCAACTCGTTCAAGGTTGGAGTGGGTCAGCAGGCGACCTTGACCCCCCTCCGAGTAAACCCCGTTTTTTGTTTTATATTTTGCGGTCGTTTTGTGATTTCAGTTAATCATACCATGAAATTCCGCAACTCACTTAACTGTTGTCACATGATCCCCAATATTCCGTCACCGTAAATCATCGACGGTGATTACTCATCGCTTGATGGAACTAGCCCGACACACCTGTTTACAGATAGTTATACATTAAGCGGGAATCACCTGCCAAGCGCACACACCAAAATACTGTGGCGGCGTTCGTGCACGCGAGAAGCGCCGCTGCTAGGTTTGAGGCACCACGGCGCTGCGGCGGAACAAATCGGCGATGTCCGTTCAACTCCCAGAGTTGGTCTGCAACTGGTTCTGAAGGTGGCTCAGGGAGTGCTGACGTCTACGGGACGCCGCCGCTGCACCGGAGCAGCTGAAAGGAGCCACGCCGCCGCCGCAGTCTCTGTCAACGGCCAAATCCTTTGAATGCCTGTCGGGATTCTGCGCAGTTTTAAAGTGCATCATTCCGGGAGAGGGAAGGCAATTTCTAGAGCCAACGGGGGGAAAAACCAATCAGACTGATCGAAAACGGCGGCGCGAACGCAGCGATGTATGATGTTGTTGCACGGTGAGATGGGTTGGGAAACTTGGGTGAATCCCGCTGTAGCATCTTTTGACAAACAAAGTCCTTGTGATGTCGGGATGGAGTGGAGCAACGCCGTCAAGCCTGACGCAACGCACGGCTGAACGAGCTATCCCACCAGCCATGGGCTCCTATTCCTGGAACTACCACTACACACCTTGCGACAGTCAGCCGTAGTTGCCAACTGCTCGCTAGACACCAGCTGTGGCGTGTTGGTGCCGCCCACACCCCCGCCACAGCTGGGTGCAGCCTGCTCTTAACGCGAGGCTCGGTGCCGTCCTCAGGCATGCGCAGAGCCAACGGCACTGGCTCATGGCAGCCGGTGCCGCCTACCGCCGCACTATCAAGCGACTGAATCGCCGACATGCGCCAACATCAGGCGTCCCGACCTGACACCAGGCACTCGGTGTCTGTCCAGGCGCCAGGTGCCCGGTCCTGATGCCAGACACGGGGTGTCCGTCCAGACACCAGAAGTCCCGTTCTGACACACGTGTCCCTGTCCAGGCACTAGGTGCCCCGTCCTGACACCAGACACTAGGTGTCCCGTCCTGACACCAGGTGTCCCGTCCAGGCACCAGGTGTCCCGTCCTGACACCAGACACTACATGTCCTTCCAGACACCAGGCGTCCCGTCCGGACACCAAGCGTCCCGTCCAGGTACCTGGTGTCGCTTTCAGCTGTCCGGTAGCTGTCCTGCAGTTCCATGGCCGCCAGCAGCGCAGGCTAGGCGTCAATTGCCGGCCATGCCATCACAGCACACCTTCATCCAGTGGACTGTTGTCTGCAGCCGTCTTCAGCTGCCACGCCGTCTGGTTGTGCGGTTCTTAGCGCCTCCATCCAGGCCTACCAGTGCAGCGGCACCATGTACAGCAGCGCCTTCCGCTGGACGTACGGTCCGGCCGGTTCCTCCAGCCCCCAGCGGTCTGGCGCGAACGCGAGGCGCAATAGCGGCTCTCGACGCCCCTGCGCCCAGACTTGTCATGCCTTAGCATCGGAAGAGTAATGGAGCCGTTGGTGCTGGCGCCCACTGGTGTGCGCACTGCGCCGAAAATCAGCGGTTCCTGGGTGCCTGATAAGATCAGCGCTGTGATGAAACATGAAGCGCCTCATGCGGGCGGCGAGTGGACCGCCGCTCGCCGCCGAACCGCTAATCGAGTCGGTCAAATATGCAGGCGCTGATTCGGTCCGGCGCGTCTCGTGGGCTGTTTTTCTGACGATCGACCGGCTCTGGTCGGGCGGAGCGGCCGCAGGTACTCAGCCCGGTGCTGGCGCGGCGCCGGCCGGACCGTATTGACCTAACGTGCCGCCGCCGACTGGCACGGGTGTCGCCGGCCGGCCGGCGCCGCGCCCGGGCGGTGATTAGACGACGCCCGCGGCGCGGCGCCGAGCGCCCCGGTCGCGCCGCCGCCGGGCGCGCGGCAATCGCGCCGCGGCCGTGGCGAACGAGGCGCGTCCGTGTCATCCTGCAGTGCGCGAGGTACTACGTCTGGGAGAAGGCGTGTTTTGAACGTCGATATGCTGTTACCTGCCACGCCCTTTACGGTGTGTGACGGAGACCAGCGTTTCGGCGCGATTGTGCAGGGTCAGAGGATGTGCCGCGCTCCTGGACGCACTACGCCAGAAACAGTGTTCATTGCGCAGTTTGCGGATCAATAGGTTCTCCGGTGAAAACCCCAGGACTTGATCCGCCGGTGCGTTGTCGATTGCCGTTTTTGTCGTCACTGGACGGCGACATCCTGGATTGTGCATCACGAAGGTGGTCCGTATAGTATGACACTGCGGCCGTCCTCATTATACGCCTAGCGGTCGGGAAAAAGCTGGGATCAACCTCTGCAGGTTCTCGTGTGTCATTGCGAGATTTTCCGGACGCAGTAACTTCAATCACTATCATTAGGCGCACGGGAGCTTTAGTATCCAGTTTCTCGAGTACGCCAAAGCCGTAGCTGCACGCTCCGCCCGCTGGCGCCGGCTGGTGTACATCCCTGCTTGGTCTGTGCTGTCCCTGTCTGCTGGTCACATCACGTCGGCCGGGCTATCAGCGCGAACCATCCCGCCGCTTGGTACCGTGCGCGCGCCGGTGCCCAGCCGGTGCGCTATCTTCTCCGCCGTCTGCTACCCCGTGCGCCCGACTCTCCGCCGGGTTCGGGAAGCGGCAGCCTCCATGGCGGCCACTCCGCTCCACCGCGTGGTCACCACAGAGCGCCGCTTGGACCACCGTTGAGCAACTGCCAGACCGGCACTGGGCTGGGCTGGGCTGGGCTGGGTTGCTGAGAAATGTGTTCTGAAGCGAACTTTGGTGCGCCGTAGACGGAGTGGTCAGCGACACGAGCCGTTGTCATTGGCCCCTCTCGTGCAGTGAGGTGCTCTTCTCTTGATCCTGTGGTCTCTTCTGCTGTGATCGGCAGACCCTTGCGGGGGGGGGGGGGCAGGGCTTCGGCTGGGGTCCTTCGACCGAGCGGAAAGCCTAGGTGGGGCGCCGGGAGTGGCGTGTCCGGGAGGTCCCGGGTTGGTCTGGGGCTCGGGCTGCTCCGTCGGGATGATCTGGGGCCCGGGCTGCTCCGTCGGGCTGATCTGGGGCTCGGGCTGCTCCGTCGGGCTGATCTGGGGCTCGGGCTGCTCCGGCGGGCTGATGTGGGACTCGGGCTGCTCCGACGGGCTGATCTGGGGCTCGGGGTGCTCCGTCGGGCTGATCTGGGCTCGGGCTGCCCCGCCGGGCTGATCCGGGGCTCGGGCTGCTCCGACGGGCTGGTCTGGGGCTCGGGCTGCTCCGTCGGGCTGATCTGGGGCTCGGGCTGCTCCGTCGGGCTGATCTGGGGCTTGGGCTGCTCCGACAGGCTGATGTGGGGCTCGGGCTGCTCCGACGGGCTGATCTGGGGCTCGGGCTGCTCCGCCGGGTTGATCTGGGGCTCGGGGTGTCCCGTCGGGCCGATCTGGGGCCCGGGCTGTTCCGTCGGGCTGATCTGGGACTCGGGCTGCTTCGCCCGGCTGATCTGGGGCTCGGGGTCTAAGCGGTCGGCCCTTCAGTCATGTGTATGGGCCCCCAGGCCCGGCGCCTGAGAGGTGGGTCCCCTGACCTGATGGTTGGACCCCGAGGCCGTGGTGCTGAGGGGTCAGCTCCTAGCTCCGGCGACTGCACCCCAAGGCTTCATGGTCCAAAGGTCAGTTCTCTGACGTGGAGGGCGCGCTGTGGGGTCCTGCGTCTAAAAGGCCCGCTCCGATGGGCGAGCCTTTGGGAGCCGCCGTCTGAGGTACTGGCCTGTGCTCGGGTGGTCGGACCCGAGGCCCTTGCGTGTGATGTGCCGGCTCTCCACTGGCTCCTGCACTGACCCACCGGGGCGGTCAGCGTCGGTGCCGGGAAGAGGCCGCCGCGATCTGAGGGAACTGCGTGCGGCGCCGAACTTCGGCGAACGCGCGGGCTCGGTCCGCGGCGCCGCTCCGGCCCGGCGCGTCTCGCTCGCCGCGCGGCGGGGGAGCCACAGTCGGCACGCAGCGTCCGCTCCCCGCCGGCCACGTGATGGGGCTGAAAGAGCCGCCGGCGTCTCCAGGGCTCACGTGGTGCGTCGGTCGGCAGAGATGCGAGTGTCCAGGGAGGAGCAGAGACTCGGTGTGTGTCTTCGATACTTTCTTCGACAGGAGGCGGTGGTACTGCGGGTAACTGGGGAAAAGCCCAACTCTCGCTTGCTATGACACGGCTCAAAGCAACCGTCGGACCCGCGGTTACCCCGCCCAGACCCGCGAGCCGCGCCGCACAGAGCACCTGGCCAGATTGTCCGCCGCGCCCCCACGCTGCACCGCTCCGTCGCAGTGAGCCTTACCCCGCCCAGACCCGCGAGCCCGGCCAGACTGTCCGCCGCGCCCTCACGCTGCACCGATCCGTCGCAGCGAGCCTTACCCCGCCCAGACCCGCGAGCCCGGCCAGACTGTCCGCCGCGCCCTCACGCTGCACCGCTCCGTCGCAGCGAGCCTTACCCCGCCCAGACCCGCGAGCCGCGCCGCACAGAGCACCCGGCCAGACCGTCCGCCGCGCCCTCACGCTGCGCCGCTCCGTCGCAGTGAGCCGCTGTCCTGCAAGGAGCCGATCGAGGTGGTCAGCTACAAGATCGGGGTCTGCAAGGTCTCCCCCAAAGGCAAGGAATGCCTCACCGAGTTCAGCCGACTCAACTTCAACGGCCGCTCCTCGGTGGTCGTCTGCAGGACCGCACACCGGCCGCATGCACCAGATTCGTGTGCATCTGCAGTATTTGGGTGAGTTGGGCGGCGCACGTGCTGGGCGACGCCGCCGGCGCCAGCGCGGGCGCTGGAGCCGCATGCAAGGCATCAGAGTGAGGTTATGACCCTTGGACGACTTCGCTGCGTGCTTAGACGTGAGTTAAGTGGCGCAAGTTAAGATTTACTGTGCTTTGTTGGGGCCATGTCGAAGCAGGCAGTGCTAGCTCACGGAAGGAATCGCATGTATGCCGCTGAGTGGACTTCGTTCGTGCTTTTATCACGCCAAGGCCAGACGAGCGCTGAAAACTCGGAATACTTGGAAACAGGAAGAGCGTTCAGCAATTCACACACTGAGTCCTTGGCTGGTACTGGTCCAGCTTCCCGTCAACGGTCATTCCTTCCACGTCACCTGCGGCGTAGTTTTGTAAGGTGTGGTTAGTAAAGGGCTGAACAGTGAAAACGGCGCAACTTACCCTAACATTTGACATGACGTCCAGAAACCACTAGATTCATCGTAAGCCTTCCACGTTGAAAAACTGTAATCGAACAGCTGATAACTACGCGTCCTTTCCTACACTATCAGTTTAATGAAGCATTCATGCTGCTGTCCGTGCAGCAAGTGGCCCTTTCTGACTTGAGTTTCCGTCGATTTGGAGTAGAGAGATCGGACTCCATTGTCTGTATCTGTGGTCCCAGCCAGAAGAATGCAAAACATTGTCCTCCTTACTGTCCATTTTTGTCAGGTGTCAGGCAAATTCTGACAGGCAACGTTTGTGATAGACCCCGGTCTTGTAGCAACAACGCTTAGTATGCATTATTCCACCCTATCTTCGTCCTCGCTGTTAAACACATTGTTTCAGAGCACAAACACTTCCGTGGGCGATGGTATCAAGGTGACCTCTTAGTTCCAAGCATTTCTCGTCTCCCCGCATCGCAGTCATCAGCGCGCTAAGATGCGTGTTGCGATGCCGAGAAGGCGGCCGGTGTTCTACCCGACAAAGTCATTTGCTGACGAGCGTTAATGTGGCGTTCCAGAATGGCGGCTGTGCATTTCTTGCGCTATTTTCACCGGGTAACAGGGCCTCCAATAAGTGCAATGCACTTTGATGTCATTTTCAATTCATTTACTGTGCATTTGTAGTCAATAAAACGACGAGGAGGCTTGCCCGACCCGCTGCCCGGTTCAAAACATCGTCCAGTGCGTCTTCCCTGACCCAGAGCGTCTAACCATCGCCCTGTCACCGTCACCCGCCGGCCAGTTTGTTGCCTGAGCTGACGGCCGGTCACCCCAAAGTCCAGCCTCTTGTGATGCGCCAGCCATCGATCTGAAGGTGTTCACCGATCCGCGGCAGGCGCGGCTGCAGGTGGCAGCCGCTGCTGAGCTCCTCCGCCCCTGGCGTGTTGAGTGCTGCTGCCGCCGTCCCTCGACCGCTCTGCGGTCCCGAGTCCTCCCGAGCGCGGGCGTCAGCGGCTGACAGGTGACGTCCGCTCCCACAGGGTACCCAATCATCAACGACCCGCTATACAACCACACGGTGTTCGGGCCGCAGAAGGGCAAGGGCGGCACCATTCTGAAGACGGACGAACAGCTGATCCAGGACCTCATCGCCATCCACAATGCCGAGAACTGGCTCGGCATGGACGGCGATGTCGAGCTGAGCATGTTCAAGGCCAAGGAGGCCGGTGAGTGTCGACAGGGCGCGAGGCGGGCGTCCGACTCCGCGGAACGACGACCCGCGCCGTGGGGGTTGTGCTCCTGCCTTCGGGCACCGTGTCTAGTCAGTGGATGAAGCGAAACTCGTGAGGGGCCCGCTCCTCTCCCTCCTCTCGTGTGTCGACGTGGTGACATGTGTGCCGGTCGCTCGCCGCTCTCCGCCACCGCCGCCGCTGACCTCTGGCGCCGCCCCCAGTGGACAGCCAGCCGGCGGCGGAGGTGCCGGCCGGCGCCGGGCGCTGCCCGGCCGGCTCGCCGCTGCCCGCCAGCCCCGGCCCTTCGGACGGGTCCGCGCCGAACGTCACCGTCGGAGCTGAGGCCCAGCCAGGTCAGAGCCCGCAGAGCACGGGGTCCGCGCCGCCGGTCCGTGCCGCCGTCCGGCCGCCGGTCCGTGCTGCCGTCCGGGCCGCTGGTCCGGGCCGCCGGTCCGTGCCGCCGTCCGGCCGCCGGTCCGTGCCGCCGTCCGGCCGCCGGTCCGGACCACCGGTCGGCCGCGAGCGCCAGCACGACGGTGGAGAGGGCAGGGCAGGGGTGAACGAATTCTCAGACTAGTTCCCTCGCTGTCGTGCTGCACATGAATGTTCTGTTCAATGTGTGGTGTTATGTTAAGTAAAGGATGCATATCGCACGCTTAGCTAGCATAAGCCTCTACCGCTCTGTTGGCTAATTGGAGATTTCGGTGACATCATCGGTCTTTACGGCGGCGCCAGGCGGCACCAGGCATGCATGCGCAGTGCCAAACAAGTTGTGTGCAAGGAATGCCAGCCTTTCACGTTGAGAGCCTTGTTGGGACCGTGAATGCATTTCTCTTCCGTAGTCGTACCCTTTTCACCTTTCATTGACGGATGACATTGATGAAGTTGGAGGGTACAAATCGCGTAGACACTTGAGGTGTTAGTTTCTGACCGGCCATCCCTACCACGTCTTTGCGCCGACTGCCTGTCCCGAATTTGGAAATGATTTTTGTAAAAGAAAGGACCTGAAAATGACATCAGTAATGGGACTACGCCCCATTATGTTACCCCCTTCAGGACTCTTAAATTGTCTTCATGATGTGAAACAAAGAATACGCGACGTTTAATGGTCTATGTCGGCCACTGTAAGCGCTGGAATACGTCACCCGGCGCTGAAAATCTCACCAGTTTATGTCCGAGGGCAGCATTGCCATGCAGTTCCTGGCCGAGTCTGAAATGGATTGTCCGACATATTTCTTGGACGTTATTTGGTATTTCCACATGGCCGTGCGACGGCCCACAACCCGTCAGTGGCAGGCGCCCGTCGGCTTCGGCGCGTCCTGCATGGGGACGGGCGGACCCGCGCCCCGCGCGAGCCGTCAGACCTGAGTCTGTCTCGGAGCCGAGCCAACGTGTTTGTCCTCTCCGGACGACGGCTCACGCCGCGGCGCTGCCTCGCTCGGACTGGAGCGCGGAGCGCGACGAGGAGCGAGTGGCTCCTGTTTGAAAGAGTAGAGTAGAGGGCTGATTGTGGATGCAGAACTCCACTCCGCTTGGGGTTGTACTTAGTCAGCCTGAGACAGAACTCCGCTCTGTTCGGGTGTACTTAGTCAGCCTGAGACAGAACTCCACTCCGCTTGGGGTGTACTTAGTCAGCCTGAAACAGAACTCCACTCCGCTTGGAGTGTACTTAGTCAGCCTGAGACAGAACTCCACTCCGCTTGGGGTGTACTTAGTCAGCCTGAGACAGAACTCCGCTCTGTTCGGGTTCGGTGTACTTAGTCAGCCTGAGACAGAACTCCGCTCTGTTCGGGTTGTACTGTGTCAGTCCGGTTGTACTGTGTCAGTACTGACATAGAACTCCGCTCCGTTCGGATGTACTGTGTCAGTCTTGAGACAGAGCTCCGCTCCGCTCGGTGTGCTGTGTCAGTCCTGAGACAGAGCTCCGCTCCGCTCGGGTGTACTGGGTCAGTCCTGAGGCAGAGCTCCGCTCCGCTCGGGTGTACTGGGTCAGTCCTGAGGCAGAGCTCCGCTCCGCTCGGGGTGATTGGGGCCAGTCCTGTGGACTTGCGGTGTTTGATGTTCCATGTGATGTTCTGTAGTAACACCGGAGCTGTAACTCGAACCCCGGGCGCTGTCGGGTGCTGTGCTATGCTGTGCTGTGCTGTGCTGTGCTGTGTTCATGCTGTGCTCATGCTGTGCTCGTGCTGTGCTGTGCTCGTGTATCGCTCGCAGTCGATGCCCTCGAAGCCCCAAATCATTACCGTCACCGCCACTGGCACCTCCGTCAGCGCTGTCAGTATTAGTGTCGTGCCTCATGCTGTCATGATGGCCACGGCCGCCGTGGTGTGTGGCAGGCGGTGCTGCGTCGGGGAGCGGTCGGAGACAGGCGAGGCGAGCGTCCAGACCGACAGCGCGACCTCGAGCCACGCCTTCCGGCGCGACCTGATGACCGTTGACCCGCACTGCTACGAGTGCAAGGTCAAGTACAGGGACCCCAAGCCCAGCGACCTGGTCATGTACCTGCACGCGCTGAAGTATTCGGTGAGTGCACCGCAGACGAGGGAGCGAGCGGGGGCAGGGTGTGCTACCGAATTACGGTGCGTTGCCAAGGTGTGTTACCGAGTTACGGTGCGTTGCCAAGGTGTGTTGCCGAGTTACGGCGCGTTGCCATGTCAGTGTCGACGATTGGGTATTGGTTGTTTGCACTTGTTCGTCCCACGTGTGCGTGTAAATTATGTTTCGGGGTTTCGCCGTGGTTTAGCTTATACGGGTTTGAGAGAGTGATGGCCCGCCAGGACGTGCCGGATTTGAAGCCGCTCCACTAATCCATCACGTTACGAGACGTTAGCTCGTCCATCCTCGGCCATGTCTCTGCGTGTGTGCTGTCTGTCGGTGTGCAGTGTATCGGCACAACTTGTCCTACCGCTGCCTGTGTGCTGTCGGTCAGTGTGCAGTGTGTCGGCGCAGCCTGTCCTACCGCTGCGCAGTGTGCTGACGCCGCCTCACGTGCCGCAGGGCCCGGGCTGGGAGTACGAGACACAGCTGCCGGACTGGGCGGCCGAGGCCTGGTGCGACCCGGACGGCAAGGCTTGAGGCCGGCCCGACGGTGGCGCCGCCCCGGCGGCCGCGGCCGGAACCTCGCCGGCCCGCGCCGCGTATATCAGGCGGGCGCGCGGCGCGACCGGCGCGGCGGCCGCGGGAGGCGACGGTTGCCGACGCGGCGGCTTCCCGCGGCGTCCCGCCGCCTCGAAATACTTCCAGATACAAGTATTTTGTCATAGCTGGGGCCGAGGCGAGCGCGCCGAACTTCGTCTTTCCATCCTTGGATGGCTCTGGCCCTGGAGCCGGGTTGTAGCGTAGACGCGGCGCGCGCGAGTGTGCGGCGACGCGCAGCAGTGCAATCTTATCAGCGCTGGGCGTCGGAGCGGTGGGCAGTGCGCCGGGCGCCGGTATGTTGTGTTGGTTGACTGTCGCACCGGGTCATCTCGCGTCGGCCGACGGCGCGGCGCAGTGCTTTCTGTACTTCCGTGTTCATAGCGTCGTTTAGTGTCGTGACAACTCGAATCAAAAGAGCGCGGGCGAGTGGCGCGCGCCGTCCTGACTGGCTCTGTGTTCGGCGGCGCGAGGCACGAACGGACCGAGCGCACGCAGCGGCGCGCGTGTAAATGCCTTGTTGTTTGTCAGGGTTTCTAAGGACTAATGGGCACTCGCCCGGTCTCGAGGAGGCCGCCGTTAACCAGTCGTACTAAAATAGTTGTAATGCCTGTCGGCGCACGCCGAGACGGCTCTTCTCTCCGGGAGCATGGCTGGCGCGGGAGCGCGTCCGCCGTCGGACGGCGCGTCCCGCCCCCGTCGACAGCGCGAGGTCGGACCGCGAGCCCGGCCGACGCCACCCACCGGCCGCCGTGCCTTGATGACACCCCTCTGACGTCACAGCCGGCCCGGCGCTGTGGCAGTGCCTTGGTTTTACCTCAGCCGCGCCCGGCGGCGCCCCGGCCGCCGTCGGCCGTCGCCGGCCGCCGGGCCGCGTCGGGTCGCGCCGGGCTGGCTTCGGGGGTCCGTCTCGTGTCCGGTCGGGCGGCGCGCGTGTCGTCTCTCGGCGCTGTTCCTACTGGTCCGATCGGTGTCCGTGTGGCCGCACTCCGCGGACGCGTCTCAGCGCACCTGCGAGAGCTTTGGCCCAATAAAGCCGCCAGACGTTCGCCGTGTTTTCGTCCGCTTTGGCCGCGGTTGTGTGCTGCTGCGCTGTTTGTGCGCCCTGTTTGCCGGACGTGACGTCCGGGAAAATAGTGTTTGCCGCGACTCACGTCCGGGCAGAAATTAGAGTGTTGAGTAAATGGTTGGAAGTAAGCCATGACAGATTTTGGGTGAAATGGTGTTTTTTCCGCACGGGAAATGGACTACCAGAGCGCGGGTATCGTTTCAGAATCCGCTATAACGGCGGCTGATGCGTCTCGGTGCGCGGAGCGTGCTTCCTGCTCGAGTATCCCCCGTTACCATACGTTGTGTGGTGATGGACGAACAGTTCAATCAAGTTTGGTTTACTCTGAAACTGTCATGGGGGACACCAAGCTTCGAATGAAGTCAAATGATAGCATTACACACGCATACAAATGTACGTGCAATGCATGCCCAACCGCAAGGAAGTAAAACGCCTCGCGCGTCTTCGTGGCTAACTTGATGGCGCATGATCGCTTTAGATAAAAGACGCGAGAAGCACGAAATCGACCATAAAACACGGCAAAAGCGTTATAGCATGGCAGAGATACACGGATTTTCATGAACCACATGCTTTAGTTGAGGGCAAGTGATGCGTACTGTGACATTGCGATAGCCCGCAGAACGAGGGGATGCCTATGACTGGAAAAAAATACTGAGTTGTATTTCTGAAATAAAACCGAAGAAAAGAACAAAGCCCAGGACGTAAAGCAAACCGAACGCTTTAATGTGTATTTCATTGTTCATTGGTAAAGACAATTCGCGAGGCTTGTACACGTATGCCAGCCACGAAAACATGGTTATCCTTTGCCTGAATGACGTGTGCCCTGGTCCTAGCCACATGTACAATAGTTATGACATGGTGGGCGGGCCATCCGCTCAAAAATGTAGACAGCATCTCCATTCTAACAACACAGGATCCTCATTCTCGTTGCGGGCCGCGAAGGATTACCCTTTCGGCACAAAATGCTGACCTTTCGCTGTCCATTTTGCTTGAGCTACATCATATTGGGGACGTTCCCTGACAGGCTTCAGTGCGTGGCGTCTGGATGTGCGTCTCGTGCGTGTCATTCGGCGCGATCTCCCCGTTTGTTGATCATGTTCGTTTTGATTGTTAATCACATCCCACAATCAATCTGATGATGGTGTGATGGCATCATTCGACCATCCTGGTGCGTGGGGACTGCCGATTCCAGCCCCAGACAAGCTTACACCTTAAAGACCTTTGAATTGTTCCAGCCTTGCTCCTACTTACCTGGTCCCAACCAAGCCTTGAATAGAAGTTTTGCTGACGGCTGCGAGGAATCTGCTGTTGCATTGGATGTGTGGAGAGCGAAGCTTACGTATCAGTCAGCCCAAATCATCGCCACTAATAGCAGCCTGCGCAAAGCCAGCGCTTTTTGTGGACGACGGCTTAGGCATTAAAACCGGAATTACGCACATCACTGCCTCACAGAGTCGAAAATTGCGCTGGGAAGATTATTCACGCCTGAAAGGCTTCGCAATGCATGAACCAACTAAGAAAAGCCCTCCAGTTTTCACCAGAATTGTAGAGTCGAGTGGGTCCCGACTGCTCTAACAACTTTTCAAAGAACATACCGCAAAAATCACTTTACTAACGCAAGTAATCGCTGCGCTAGAGCCCCACGAAAGAAGGCAATTCAAGGGACGTTAGCCAGGCCTTGTAATGCGACCAGAAGTAAAGTCGCCACACACAGTCATCCATAGGAAGTGCGGCAGCACGCGCGTGTGCGCTCCTCCACGTAAGACGCACATCTACATGCTACAAGCTATTACGGAGGACAACCATTTCACGCTTCGTTAGTTGGTAATTGCTCTAGGAATTGTTGGACGAGTCGTCGGCGCACGTCCTAGCTCAGGTGCCACTCGTGGTAAAGAACCGCGGCAGTCAAGAATGAAGCCTTACTCCGTCGATCCCAAGTGTGCCAGCTACGCCATCGAGACGAACGAACGGTCCTGCACGGGTATACCAAATACTGATGCTGTGCAACGGAAACGGATGCCGCACACACGTCATTCTTTCGTTAAAAAGAAAATAAAAGACAGCGGAACCGTCGGATGTATATGTTTTACTTTGGTCTACATATACCTGTCATAAAACCACGGCAGATGCACATTGCGCATGACTTCTGCATGATGTGACCGGCGTTGCAGCAGAGGTCAGCCGATGACTAATGCACAGTGGAACAAGCGGCCCTGGGCTCCAGCCAGTTGGCCAGCGACGGCAACAGAGCCCGTACTACACCACACATCCTGCGACAGACCACGCCTATGGCTGAAGTGATGCGCCGGAGACACGGGCTCATTAACACTGGCGGCGCGACAGCCGCAAACACTACTAACGAAACACCACCGTCAGACACAGCCTCACACACGCACGCCCGCCGCCCCGGCCGGCCCGCTAGCTCTGCGCCACCTTCCAGCTGCCGTCGAGGCCGTCGCACGGCTTGCCGATGATGCAGGTGCCAGTGACGGCCGGCCGCCGCAGGTAGAGCTCGCCCACGCGGCGCAAATCGTCGCGCGTGACGGCCTTGACGCGGCGCCGGTGCTCGTCGAACTGCTCGTCCGAGATGCGGCTGAGGAAGGTGCGCATGCCGCGGTCGGCCGGCACCACGGGCGCGTCCACCGCCTGGAACACGCCCAGCTTGGCGCCGTCCACATCCTCGGCGCTGAACGGGTGGTCGCGCGCCACGTCCGCCGCCGCGGCGAACGTGTCGAGCGTGCGCAGAGAGTTGGGGTCGCGGTAGCTGTAGAACGACCACAGGCCGCCGGGCGAGGCGATCGCGCCGCCGCCGTACGCGCCGCCCTTCTCGCGGATCTCGCGGTGCAGGTGGCCGAGCGAGAGGAGGGCGCGCCAGCACGCGCAGCGCCGCGTAGTCGGGGTGCGCGTACGGCACGGTGGGCAGCGAGCGCGCCGCGTAGTGCACCGGCAGCGGCAGCTGCACGTACGTCTGGCCGCCGGACGGCGCAAAGTCCGGCCGCACGCCAATCTCCTCGCGGCCGGCGCCGACCACGCCCGAGAGCAGCTCGTCGAGGCCGGCGAGCGCCGGAGGTAGGCCGGCGGCGGTGGCATTGAGTGCGCAGCGCATGCCCTCCTTCATCAGCAGCATGTCGGCCAGCATCTTCATCTTGTGACGAGCATGTCGAGTTCGCCGTCCTCCACCAGCTTCTTGGTAAAGCGCACCTGGTCGAGGCCCGAGTACAGCTGGCGGAGACGCGCCCGCCGCGCTCAGGTCGGCCGATGCCACGCCCATGGCGTACTGGTGGCCGGCGGCCGGCACGCTGTTGGCGAGTTCGGCGGCGCTCATCTGCAGCAGGCTGCGCAGCCGCTCGGCGTTGTCGAACGCGACGCCGGCGAAGATGTCCTGCCAGAGCGCGAACATGCGGCCGGCGTTCTGCTGCAGGCAGTAGGAGCGCAGCACCAGGCCCTCCTCGTAGCGGCCGGGCTCGACCGGGTCGTCACTGACGGCGACGGCGGCGGACAGGCCGCCCGTCCACAGCTGCTCCTGCTGGTCCTGCTGCCGGTAGTCAAGCCGCTGCGTGCCCATGCGCGTCAGCAGCTGACTGAAGAGCGGCAGCAGCGGTCGGAAGTACGGCGGCACGGTGGACGTGTCGATCACGCAGCGGAAGTAGGTGACGCCGTTGGTCGGCTGCTCAGACAGCTGGACGGGCACGCCGGACACGCTCTCGCGCCGCAGCGCCGGCCACTCGGTCGCGTCCGCGATCTGACGCACGTCCAGAATCGGCAGACTGGTCGCGTCGTCACCGTCCGCTTGCTTCTGCAACAGACGCCGGCCGTCCTCGAGCACCTGGCGGCGGTCGTCGTCGGTGAGCGCGGCCACCTTCCGCTCCAGCAGTTCGGCCTCCTGCCGCTGCAGGGCCGCCTCGT